TCTATATATATATATTTTTTTTTCTCTATCTCTCTATCTATGCATCTATCTTTGTAATACTGGTGCTGCAGGAGAATTCACTGAACCATAAGGCCGGTGCTTCAAACTCACCAGCTGCTCCTTGGAAACCCTTTACAGGGCGGCTATAGGTCAGAACCGACTTGATGGAATGTCACAACAACAGTACTCGTATACATAGTAACTTAGATGAGGGAGCATGGTGACTCCTTAAGACAAACACTGGACTGCAAACCACAAGGTAAGTGGCTGGAACCCACCAGCTGCTCCCAGGGAGAAAGACGAGACTTTCTAATCCTGCAAAGGTTTACAGCCTCGAACACCCTATACAGGCTCACTGAGTCGAACCAACTGGACGGAACTTAATAACAACACAGAATGATACATTGTGCATCTCTTACTCCTTCATTATTTTACAGCTTCTTTTGCTCAAGCGTGTGCTTCTGAGCTATATCCGCCATCTGTGTGTCTGAAGCTGTGTTTGCATCACTATGAATACTCCTCCTCAGTGGCTTGACCCCTCTACTACTGGAAACCCCCCTCCCCAGGTTATAAAGAAAGCTGCTTAGTCATGCTCCTCACAGATACTCCGGGGAGTGGGACTGCTGGGTCAGCTTTGACTGGATAATGTCTACTGGTTTCCACGGCAGCCTTCCCACCTTCCACTATTGCCAGCAGTGGGCGCGCTAACTGGTATCTCCACCACCAAGATGACACCAGGCCTGCCTAAGTTTAGCCACTGTGGGGAGTACAAGGTGGTAGCTCACTGTGATTTTAATTAGCATTTCCTTAATTACTAATGAAATGAAGACGCTTTATATGATGTGGTGGTCACTCAGAGACCTTTTTGTGGTAAGCATGATCAAACCTTCTGCTTTTTTCTACTGGGTGAGTCCTTTCTGTGTTTATTTCAGAACTCCTTCCCTGCTCTGGGGGCAGGAACATATGAAGACATTCTCCCAAGTTTTCTTCTAGAAGCCTGATCGCCTTGCCATTCACATTTCCATCTGCTAACCAACTGGAATTTGTCTCCTACACAGAAACTTTCAGGCAAATCATGAGTAGAGAGAAAAAT